ATGCCGAAATCACTAACTTAACCGAATCGGCCAAACGATCATTCGGCTAATTTTTATCAGGTGTTTCAGGAATTATGCAATCGGTCCCGCAGTAATTGTCAGCCGACTTTGAGTAAGATTTATAAAAAATTGGCATTTTTAACCGGAATAAATAAAGTCATAGTAAAATAATTTTTCAATAAATCTTCTAATAGAAGTTTATCGGTTTTTGCATCAATTTTTGAGTAATTTAGATAGGACCGATTAGGGACCGGAAAATTTAGCTAATCGGTACCTAATCGGTTCCATCTAAATTACTTGGACGAATGCCGGCTAAAAATGCCAATTTTTTATAAATCTTACATCACTAACTGCCTTCCAGTGACAACACCGCCATAAATGGCCAGGACCCTCATGCCAAGAACCCTAGCAGTGTACCAATCACAGATCAACGATAGAAAATCGTCATCCAATCAGGCAGTGGGATAAGTTAACAAAATTCTTATATCGATATTATGACTGGTTAACTATGCTTTTCTACGAAATCAATCTACACGTACGTACGTATGCCCAAATAAATCTTGAAAAATTTTTTAATTTAAAATATATCTGAAATAGTATTTATCATCATGTGTATTGTCTCGCAATTTATTAGGGTTGTAAATCTGGTCAAATACGGTTGGTTCAGATATAGTTAATAATTACAGTATCTGTTATCGTTATCCAAAGATCATGTGATTAATTTTACCCGCGAGACCAAGGTTTTTAGTTTTAACGTTAAAATTATCGTAAGAATTTCAAGCGTTATATTTCTTAATGGTCCAGATAACTCTGAGGCCTCTTTTCGCTAGCTTTGTGGTCACAGTACTACTGATAATTTGCGTCAGAGCAAGTGAGGATATCTTGGTAAAGTTTTCTGCTAACTTATACTTTTGCTCAAGCTGTCCTTGCTGTTAAGCGTCCAGATTTGCATTGCTTTGATGACATTTCTCTTACTTGTATGATTTAATTAGAACAATTATAATAGTCAACGATGTTCTGGAATGTTTGATAAGGCCGCAATTCCAGGAGGGACGGATCCAAAGATTACTTGTGTGTATTTTGAATTACGGAAATGATTAAATGATTTTATTCAATTCTTTATTAATTGAAAAATTTTGCTAGTAAAATATGACAAAATTTCAAAGATAGGAGCATCAATGGTTGTATACGAATACTCAGATTTTGATAGTATTGGATATTTCGAGAAAGGAGAGGTAAGTATTTTTCGTAGGTTAATTTATGTGATTGATTCTCGAAATAAATCTAATTATTAATCAATTAAATTCAGAAAAAATTAATTTGTGATGATTTAGCAATTAATAACAACCATTGCACTAGTTCACAGCGTGGCAGCATTGTTTTTAACAAGGATGCATCAAGTATCGTTGATCATGTATTCAATTTCGATTCTACTGGGGAAGATCAGAGTTTTATATATCATGTCAATAAAACCGGCTTTTATTGTGTCGCAGCGTAAGTTGTAATTACTCTAGTAATTATATATTTTTTAATACTAAAATCATTAAAATCTCATTTATACTTAATTCAGGTTTTCTTTTGAAGACAGAGTTGGAGATTTTATGATAAGAATTGATTGGAGAAATCCGTATGGAGAACTACCTGCTTCTGATTATCCAAAATTGCCGGTACTTTTATAAAATTGCCATAATATAATATATATTCGCGTAAATTTGACTGATGTATACAATTATTAAGTTTTATGGACTCTTATCACTGGTTTATTTGGTTATTGGAGTCATATGGATGACGCTTAGTATAATACATTGGCGAGATATTTTACCAATACAGGTATTAATTGTATTATACTATAATTCCTCAGGTCTTTTTATTTATGATATTAACATAATTATTCTTTAGAACTATATCTCGAGCGTGATTCTATTTCTCATGTTAGAAATGGCTTTCAATTGGGGATATTGGGAGAATTATAATAACTATGGGGTTTCATGTAAGCCACAGATACATTTACAACAAATCTAGGCTAGGCAAAACTCATCAATTTTGTATTTTAGCAACATTTCTCCTTTGCCTTGTTGTTGTTCTCAATGCCGGAAGAAACTCTATTTCATTCTTTATGCTATTGATTGTTTGCATGGGATATGGTGTAGTCAAGTAGGTTATTTTTTAATTTCAATATATATATATATATATATTTAATGAATCTAATGGTATTTTATAGACCAACTCTCGGCAATACAATGAATAAGTGTCGTGCACTGGCTGCAGCACATTTCATATTTGGTATAATGTATGCTGCAGGTACAATGCTTATCGATCCTAACACTTCAGGTCCTCTTATATTTCTAGTCATTTTTCCATTGGCTCTTACAATGACCACGTTTTATATCTGGACACTTCAATCAATTACAACTACACTTCAGACCCTTAAAATTCGCAAGCAAAGTGTTAAATCTTTAATGTATAAACGGCTTTATAGACTTTTGGTTTTTTCAGTTAGTGTGCTGGGCATCTTCTTTTTTATCAATATGTTTAGTTATATCCATCGGGGTGACAATAACTGGGTACTAAAGTACTGGCGGTGGAAATGGTTCTTATTAGACGGATGGTTGAATATTTTGTATTTGATTGTATTCATCGTAATACTCGTTATTTGGAGACCAACTTACAATAATAAGAGATATCCTTTGATTGGAAAAGAGTTTTTCTTTTTTTTAATATATAATTGTTTTTATTTTCTTTAATTTAATCTTACATTCGCAATGAGCGAAGAATTAGCACAAGAGGACGACTATGATCTAGATAATATCGGTCATGCGTTGGAAAGTCTTGGTTATGAACAGATTAAGTATAGAAATTCTACACGGGACCATAATGAGACTGAAAGATTGCATGGTGATGGGACTGCAATATTTGATATTGGGGATGAACATGATGATGAATGGGATGATGATGATGATGATGAATCGGCAAGTAGAAGAGGCATTTCTGGAAATTATGAGGCACCATCTAGGTACTATATTTATTCATTTTAAAAAAATGAGTTTTGTGTTATTATCCCTTTTTGACACCAAATTTGTACAAAGTGACTTTTAAATTCATGAATCATCCAGGGCGGCTCCCAAAAGTTCGGTGACGTAGATTATAGCAGTATTTGGTATTGGATTACAATCACTAAGAAAATGATCTACGATATGCAGCTAGAAGAGAGCCAATAAATGGCCTAACTAATCTTACGTTACCGAACTTTTGGGGTCGTCCTGGATGATTCCAAATTCGTACAAAAGGACATTGTAATTTAAATTAAATCGCAATATCTCGTGATCTAGTAATCCGATTTGGACGATACATCGAGAAGATCGAATGGTATCAAAATCATTACTAGATCACGAGATATTACCTGTTACAGTTTAATTAATTTAAATTACAATGTCTTTTTGTACGAATTTGAAAGTCACTTTGTACTGTACGAATTTAAAAGTCACTTTGATGTCAAAAGAGATAACGATATGTAGGTTAGATAACGATTATTTTTCTTTAGGCGCGAAGAAGAAATAACTCATGCTGAACAAGAATTTTCAAAATTAAATTAATTAGCATACGTTGTACTTTATGGAATTAAATATTAGTATTAATAACCTTTATACCTAAGAAAAGAAATTTATATTATTTATTATATAGAATATTATATCAGTTAATCTTTTTGCCATTGTAATCTGAGTTTTAACTTTAAAATTAAATTAGAAAAAACATTAATATTTAAATTATTTGTGATCATTAATTTGCAGTCATATGCTACGTATAATATTTCTCTTAATAGAAAATGCGGCTATATGCTATATATAATGATTTATTTTTATACGTACTGTATATTTAATATATATATATATAGTTGATTCAAAAAATAAATGTATTTATAGAAAAATTTTTCATTATGGGAGTGTGACTGTGGTAAAATCTCTACTTGTTACTACGTATAATATTGGTTTATTTCAAGGAAAATTTTCTGTTTCATGCCAAAGAATTCTAAGTGGGCTTTAGTTTCTAAATTTACATGCTTGGTTAAACTTATCGTAAAAAATTGCATTGCTCCTATTTAATAACATCATTTATTTATATAATTGTCCGAAGTGTAGCAATGATAGAGTAGTGATATCGATAGGTTAATCAGAAATAGTACGTACAGTACTATTTATTTACCCGGGTAACCCGGATATTTTAATAATACCCGCGTAGCGATTTTTTACGGATAAAATCTCTAATGAAAAGGTTTACCTCCGTATTTGATGTAAATTTAATATTTGACGGCTTTATGTTTCAAAAATGAATAATTCTACAAGGTCATTATAATACATTTCTTTGCAAAAGCTAAATTTTTCGTGATGTATACTGCAAAATTAAAGTTAACATACTTATCTGTTATTGTTACAGTATGATCAAAATTTAAAAAATATCTACACATATGCCAGGTATGTAGGGTTTGCAGGTGTCAAAGTATTATACCCGTGCTACTAACAAGAACCCTAGTGCTGTAGTGGACACTAAAGATTGACATTTGAACATGAAATAACATAAGGCGTTAATAAGGCGTTGACGTATGGCCAACCAATGAAGTGATCCATACTAAAGATAGTTTCCGCGTCACGGTTAGGAAACCACAAATCACGAGATATAATAATTCATTTTTAGCCACATTTTTCCAATTAAGGAAAAGGGGTTTATTGCAATGAATAAATTCAATCAATTTTACAGTAGTACGTCTGAACACTTCCGTCTTCCGGTTTTTGTTCATTTTTAATAAGCGTTATTTCATAAAATTTTTTTTTTTTTAACGAACATATAATGTCAAATAAAACTGGTTATATTGCTGTTCCGCTTGAGGAGCCCGTTCAAGGTAATGAGTTTCAAAACGACATATTGATTACGCAGTAAAATATCGTTATATTTATTGTTAACTCTATTGAACCTACATTTTTCTCAATAAAATATATATAACGAAATTCACAAAGACCAACAGCTACCTGCTTATAGTAAAGAATTTCAGGCAACTTATGTGTTAGCTGGTACCACACAACGAGGATGTTGCCACCAAAACTGCCAGAGAAGAAAAATTTGGAGAAGGGCCTTGATCTTTACTTTGTTATTTTTCTTGGGCGGTCGTTTCTTATTAAGTGGCCTTTCATATTTTATGTATAATGTATGTAATTTCAACAAGAGTCGCGAAATATTGTCAACAAGGACTTATAACGATAATTTTTATAGGAATTTGACGGGGTTAACTTCGACCATAAACATCCAGAAATTGGAACACCTCTATTTATTTCTCATTATGATGCGCCTGTGCCACCCATTCCTAAAGAACCAATCTGTGATCCTACCTACAGATGGAATGGTCCTTCTGAAATATTAATTGATCCACTAGATGTTTCTGGATTGATATTTTCTATTAAAGGATTATCATCGGTAATGAAACAATCAAACTAGTGCAATTTATGTATATATTTTTTTAAATTATATTTACTCTTTTATTCCGAAATGTAGCACGGAAGTGTCGTTATCCGTCAAGATCCACACTTGAAAGATTTTATCAATGTTACAAGCAAGATTTATTTGTCAGATGAAAATATTCAGGACGAAGTTGATATTAAAATTGATATCATTGATGATGACTACTCTATTACTATTGAGGTAATTTGTGATAATATACTCTTTGATTATACTTTGCGACACTTACTCAAACATAAATTTTTCTTATTATTTAGACTCCATCATTCGAAGGTCCACGTCTCACCCAAAAATGTGTCTTTATCGATACTATAATTTCAATTCCCGTTCAAGTCAATTTCTTTAGATCTATTTTGGTTGATGTGCCAAACAGCCAAATCCTTACTGAAGGTTTGGGAAATATCGACTTTGCTTACGTCGGCCTTAAAACTAGAAATGGTCACATTAAAGCTGAGGTAAGTATTTTTCTTACTTATATATATTATTATTATTAAAGTTATTAATTGCACATTATTTTATCAGGATGTTAATTTTGCTATTGGGGAAATTTCTACTGTTAATGGACATGTCAAAGGATCCTACGTTATTGCTGAGAACTTAGATGTAAATATGCATTAATAAATTGTCAACTTCTCATTTGTTAATCAGTTTTTCAATATTGAATGTTTTGTTGGCATTTTTTGTTACCTGCATTAAGGTTCGCACTATCAACGGAGCTATCACCATCAATGCTATTGCTAACTCTTGGTCAGAAGATATTTCTATTAGTGCCAAATCTATCAATGGTCACTTGAACATTAATGTGGTATGTTCTACTTTGTCTATCCTAATGGCAAAAGTTTATAAGTATAATGACTATTTCTATTGATGTATATTTCTTAATTGTATATAGGAAGATTTGACTGAAAATCAAGACCTTAACCTTAAAGCTGGTTCGGTTAATGGTGGTATTATTACCACTGTGGTGCGTATATTTTTATTTCATAACCAGATGACTATCAATTAGGTTTAATCATGTCTTTTATTAAACTCTAGCCCGATTCGTACAACGGAAACTTTACTGTCGGCACTTTAGTTGGTTACGCTTATGTTGAAGGCAAAGATATCACCTACTATAAAAATTTGCGAAATCATAAAATTGGGTTCAAGGGAAAGAATGATGATGATGATGATGACGATGATGATGATGATGACAGTGATGATGAAGATCATAAAGTGAAAAACCGTCATCACGAAAAAAGTAAATCTAGGGTGACTCTGGAAGCAGTTACTGGCTCTGTTGAACTATACTTTGTGTAATAGCTATCTGAATGAACCCATTTTGTTTCTTAGTGATATTTTCAATTTTTTTTCTTTTTTTGACATAATGATCAAATTTGTACTATTATTGCTATATTTTATATTTATGCATGGGTGAGGACGAGATTTTTATTCAAATTAACAAGGACCTATCAAATAAATAAAAATATGTTAAATATAACTGTCATCTTTAATACTGTATATTTAATTTATTAAAAATTGTTTGATCAACAAAATATGAAACATAAGACACTTTCTCGTGATATAACTGACAATACAAGCTAGCGGAATAAAATTTTAGTACCCAAAAATTTTGACTGTTTTAATTTTTACTCAAATAGCATGTTTTTGTAGATCTAGGCTAATGTGTTAGCACTAGATAATAATTTGTTTAATGATAATCTAATAGATTTAATATAAAGTTCATCTATTTTCTCAACAAATTACGTAATATTCGTTGATGATCTAATAATACTCGGCAATAAATCGATCATACCATAAATTGCCGTATAAGCCATCGGTGTGATGCGATTTTTCACTTAGTGAGAATTAAAAATCACATGTATTACACAATTGTTTATATGTCACAGCATGGTGGACAACTGTGGTAGTACAAACTTCCAAACTTGAAATTTGTGACTCAGGACCGATCTGTCCAATAAAAG